GGCCAGAAGAGCAGCCCTGGAGGAGGCTGACGTCACCTGTGCCTATGGGTGATAAGGTTTGCCTTACCTGTGGGAGCTACATCCCACGGGATGGGGAAGGAAGGAGCGAAGGAAGGAAATGCTTTCTCCACAGGAAGCTTATTTTCCCCCTCTAAGATTAGAAATACTTCAGCAGCATTTGCATAAAACATGAAGGGAAAAATTGAAACTATACCTCTCTCTACGTTCCTGTTGTATTCAGGGACTTGCTTCACATTTGGGAGCTGATTTGCTTTGGGAGCTGATTTGGGAGTGTGTGTGTTTGGAGCTGCCTGACCTACCCTAGTGGTTGCTGCCAGCTGGAGCTGCCTCAGTTCCTCCTCTCCTTGCCAAAGCTGTGTTCAGCTTCAGTTCTCTTGATTACTGTCATGAAATTCCAGCCAAATAGGCATTAACATTTTCCTTCTGGAAAATTGAGCAGTTAGTTTAAGGGGAAAATGGAGGGAGTGAAGATCTGCAGCCCTTGCTGGTGCCTGGGGGGTGCAAGATGCTGCTCCTCAGAGCTCTGTGAAGAAATGGACATCAGGAGGAATTTCTTTATGGAAAGGGTGATCAAATACTGGAAGTGGCTGCCCAAGGAGGTGATGGAGTCACCATCCCTGGAGGTGTCCAAGGAACAACTGGATGTGGCACTCCGTGCTCTGGTCTAGTTGACAAGGTGGTGATGAGTCACAGGTTGGACTTGATCTCGGAGGTCTTTTCCAGCCTTAATGATTCTGTGAAGTTAAGGTGGTTTTGGTCAGTCTGCCTTGCCTCTGTGATTATTTTGTCATGGTTTAACCCCCAGCCCAAACCAGCACAGCTAATTAAGAAGTTAATCCTGAAATGTTTTCTAATAATTGGGGTTTGATTGAAAAGGAGCTTGGGATTAACACCTGTGGGGGGGTTTTGCCAGCCACTCTTTGTGCTGAAGTGTGTGAGGTTTGCCTGCAGCCTGGGGTGAGGATGAGGATGAATCCAGGTGAGCTGAGCTCATGGCTCACCACCCTGAGGCAACCAGGCTTCTTCCCTCCTTCCCTGCTCTTCAACATGGCTCTGCTCCTGCAACTGGTCAGACCCTGCCATGGGCTGTTTGGACTCACTGACCTGGCAGCAAACCATTGGGATTGCCTAATTTATTGAATTAAGGAGTTGACAGCTCCAACAAGCACTGGATGCAAGGCGGGAAGGAAAATTACCTGGTTATGAGAGTGAAAATGTGGAGAAACCTCTCCCTTCTCATTTTCCAATAGGTGGAACTCATCCAGGCTGTAATTGGGGTGTTCCTCTGAGGGGGATGGTGAGGTAATTCCTCCTAAATTCCTCTGGAGAATACAAGCCAAGAGGCATCAGATTCCAGTCCCTCATGTTAGGCTGAACAAGATTCTTTGTGGATGGCACACAGGCAGCTCTTGAGCAGAGACTTTGGAAGTGTCCTGACATGAGCATCATCTTTGTTTCTTCTCTGTAACATATTAACTGCTGAGTCAAAAAGCTTGAATTGAGGCTGTCTGTTGTGGTTTTCCTGGGGAAAAAAAACCTCTCCTCCAGAAAGTGACTTCACCCAGGGGGAATTGCATCAAACCAGGTAATAGGTGCAAGTAAGGAGGTTTGCTTTCAGAGTCATCTTTGCTCCAAGCTTGTGCCCAAGATGTGGAGCTAAGCATGAGTAGTTCCCATGTGGGGTTGGAGCTTAGGTCCAGCCCCCAGGACATGCTGTTGGATGTGGATTGAGTTGGTCTTTAGAGAGGATAAATTCTGTAGGAGGCTTTTCTTTCAGCAGAAAAGCCTGGAGAGGGGCAAGGTTGATCATTAGGTCATAGACTCATGGAATGTTCTGAGTTGGACCCACAAGGATCACCAGTCCAACTCCTGCTCTGCACGGGACACCCTGACAATCCCACCCTGTGCCTGAGAGCATTGTCCAAACACACCTTGAGCTCTGTCAGCCTTGGGGCTGTGACCACTGCCCTGGGAGCTGTTCCAGTGCCCAAACACCCTCTGGAGGAAGAACCTAGTCCTGATATCCAACCTAAACCTTCCCTGACACAGTTGTTGTCTTTCACACTTGTCACCTTGAACACTGCAGGAAAAGCTTCTCAGCAGGTTTTATCCAGATCTTGAGGTAGATGATGCCTCTCTGTCCACCTCTACCAGCAGAATATTCCCCCTGCATCTCCCAAAGCAGACTAAGATCTCTTGGGAAGGGACATTGGGTCAGGATAGAGCATTATCTATGAGCAGCCTTACATGGTTTTCTCCTCTTCCTTTTCATGCTAGTTATCCTGCTGCTTCCTGCAAGGTGTGTAGGTTGTTCCCAACCTTCTTTTCCTTCCTTCCTTGTACTTTAAGGATGCTCCAGAGGTCAAAATGTTTTTGTCAGCATCTGCTGGAAGGAGAGCTTGTCCTCAGCAGTGACTATTTCATGTTCTCAGGGTGTAAAGAATGGTCTTCCCCCTTGGTTAAATACCATCAGTGTTGTGGCTATAACATGGACAACTTGAGCAAACCCGCTGCAAATCTCATATGGTGAGTTAGAGTGTGTGTTAGAGCAGGGCTGGAAAGGGTGAGGATGAAATGAAGCTGCTGGTGAATAATGCTGAGCTATAACCCTGCCTGGGACTCCCTCAGCAGGAGTCAGCACTTTGGTGTGTTAGATATGTGTCTTCTTCTGAAGTTGGAATGAGGTTTGTGGGAGAGTTTCCTCAGGTGAAACTCTAAATACTGAGGGAAATGTGGGACAAAGAGCAAAACTGCTTTTATATCAGCAGAGATAAGGAAAGAGTAGGATGCTGGACTTTTAGGTCAGCATATACACGCTCTGGAGTCAGGGAGGTGGTGCCAACAAGGAGATGAGACTTCTCAGTGACTAGTGAAGCCTTCAAAGGGTAGAACAAGCTGCTAACAAAGAGCTGTAATTATCCTGTTGTCTGTTGAAGTGTTGAGGCAAGAAATGCAGTCCTTGGAATTATTAGAAAGCTTGGAGGTGGCTTTTTTATCTCAAAAGGCAGAGGAAGCTGTGTGGGGAGTGGTTGCTTCAGTGGTGTGAGCAATGGGGTGGTACAGGCTGAGGCCAACCATGGAAGGAGCCTTTCCTTCCCCCAAATTCTCATAGGGTTCATTATTCTGGGGAAAGGAATAAATGCTTCATTGTCCTGGTAGTTTACTGAGTGCAACAGACTTCACAGAGCTTCAAGCAAGCACAAACATGGCCTAAAACCCAGGGGAGAAGGTTAGGAACAGGTGATTGAGAAGTTGTGTGCAGGTTAGAGTGAGGGCAAGGAAAAATTCCATGTGAAATCACCCAGAGATAAGAGCGGTAATAAAGTCTCAGCCTGAAGAAACTCATCCTGGAGTACTTCAGGAAGTGTCTGTGCAGGTGCTGAAAAAGTTGGCATGGAATTGTTTTCAGAGGGTTTTGGAGGAGAAGGGAAACCTGGAGAAGCAAAAAAGGGGAGATGGAAGTAGAACCTTTAAAAGGGAAGGAAGGAGGTGGAGGTGTCTGGCCCAACTAGTCACACCAACACCAGAGCACGTTTGGTGGTGTTTATAAGTACCTGGAGACTACTATAGTGATAAATCAGCCCCGATGAAGTGTTTTTTGCTCAGGTGATGAGGTAACTGTCCCCTTTGTGAGGGGAAAACAGGTCCATGTGTCTTGGCTGTGACTCAGCCCCACGTGGTGTCCTGATAAGGGAACTGTGGGAGAGCAGTTCAGGCTGAATCTCTGCCTGGTGAGTCTTTACTGCACTGGGGGCTCCCTGCCAGCTTTGGGTTGCTCCAGCTCTAACTGCTTGGCATAGGTGTAGGAGCAGCCAGGTTTCTGATTCCCTTCCCTCTTATTGTGTCCATTCCTTGGAGGCCAGAAGTATCAGCCAGGAGGTCACTGCTTGGTCAGTGTGACAAAGGAGTTCACAGAATTGTAGGATTGCGGTCACTGATTTACTAGTTGAGTTGTTCTAACACTTCATCACCCCAGAATGTTGCAGGACATCCCTCAGTCACAGAATCACAGAATCAATCAGGTTGGGAAAAAACCTTCAAGATCATCAAATCCAACCTGTGACCCATCACCACCTTGTCAACTAGACTATGGCACTTATGCTCCTTAAACACCTCCAGGGATGGTGACTCCATCATCTCCCTGGGATGAAGGTAGGAAAGCTCTACAGAGAGACCTGGACTGACTTTATCAGTAGGCTGAGGATAACTGCAGGAGTGGCAATGAGACTCAGTGTGCTGGTCCTGCACTTGGGACACAACAGTCCCATGCAGCTCCAGACTGGGGGAGGAGTGGGGAGAAAGGTGTTGGTCCCAAAGGGACTTGGCAGTGCTGGTGGCAGCAGCTCAGCGTGAGCCAACAGTGTGCACAGGTGGCAAAAGGCCAATGGCATCTTAGCCTGGCTCAAGCACAGTGTGGCAGCAGGACCAGGGCAGTGATCATCCCCCTGTGCTCGGCACTGGGGAGGTCACAGCTCAGTGCTGTGCTCAGCTTTGGGCACTCACTGCCAAAAGGCCATTGAGGCACTGGAGTGAGTCCAGCCAAGGGCAGCCAAGGGCAGCAAAGGGCTAGAGCACATGGGGAAGGGCTGAGAGAG